CCACATAAAATAACAAAACAAAAAACAACAACCATTAAATATATATGTAAAGAAAAATCGAAGGGAAGAAAAGCCGAGGACATCAACGCACAAGATTCATAGCTTGAACACTTAGGCAACTAACAACACAACTGAACAACAACTCATTTGTGGAGAACCATAACCAGACACAAGACTCGATGATGATGATGATGGTGATGATGATGATGATGATGATGATGATGATGATGATGATGATGATGATGATGGTGGAACAATGGAACATTGGCAGATGGGGTTTTGCTCAAGAAATGAAAAGAATACTCTGAGAGAGCTCTAAAATTCCAAACAAATGTAAGTACAATGACTCACAAACTTTGTTCCTGTCTCCCATTCTTGAACTGACCACTTTTTCATAGAGGAAACTGATATTTAGTTTAGTATAGTTTTAGTAGAGGTTTTACTGTGCTCACAACTGCATAAGGTCATATGAGCGCCAGAAGATAAGAGGTGTGACAAAGAGTAACAAACATAAAAAAGAAGAAGGGGAGATAAGGACGTTAGATGTTTGATGAAAGAAGAAGCAAACCACACCAGGGCACCTGCCAACCACCCACAAAACCAATATACCAGTCTAATGTTCGGTAAGAGTTTAACAGCACTCACAACTACATTAAGTCGTATGAGCGCATGGGACAACAGATTAAAAAGTGATGCAAACTTTTAAAAAATTATAAATACAGATACAAAATCATAAAGATTACTGCCCCTGCCAAACCTGAATCTGGCCGCGGTGTGAATAAGTTGAGCAAATGGTGCAGCATGACTTGAGCAAAAGGGTTTGGGTCCTCCACAATTGGTCTGGGGACACAAGGCTTGGGACTGACCAGTGCTGTCAGCCACTCCACATAGACCTTGACACAGTTGTTAATGGTCTCATGTTCCGTCAACGGAAGACCCAGACCGAAACACAATACCTGCACAAAAACAGAAGAAGCATTCATTTACAGAATGCGTCAGTCACATTTATCATCGCAATCTTTCTCTTTAGTTTTCGTAAGAGTTTTACGGCGCTTGCAACACAAAAAGGTCATATAAGTGCCGAAGATTAGAGGTGTTACAAGAGAGTAACAAACACAAAAAAGGAGAGGAGATAAAGACAATAGATGTTCGATAGGAAAGAAGAAGCAAACCACACCAGAGCACCCGCCAACCACCCATGCTATCTTTCTTATGAAGCTGCCAGGAGAACAAGTCTCTTTAACAACAACAACAAAAATAATAACAACAACAAAACAACAACAATAACAATAATAAAAATTTAAAAAATAATAGTAATAATAAAAATAACAATAATAATAAAAATTTAATACAGTCCACCTTTAACTGCAACCCCCTCAAGAAGCAAAGTAACTCTTAGTTGCTGTTGGGTGGAGGTTGCTGCTAACTGAATTTTTAAGGAGGTTCTTGGGTGTGATCTCCCTCCCACCCACCAAACCCCATCTGATATACAAGCACGCAAGTGTACTTCTTCACTGCATGCACATTCCTGAGTCCTAATTGCAGGATTCCGTTATTACATATTGAAAATGACAAAACAGAGGTAGCATCAGCTTAAAAGTGAGCCGATGCTCGATTTCAGGGTAGTATTGTTAAGTGCAGAGGCAAGGAGACCGAAAAAGGTCACTCTTGGTGAGATGGTGTAAACTGAACCCCTATACATTGTGCAATCTATCTTTAGCCAGAGGTCTTGTGAGGATTAATAGAAGAGGAATGCAAACACACTAAAATTATCCGCCTTTTTTCATTGTTCCTACTTTCCAAATCATTTTTTTTTAATTTACTCAATTTAATTTTTATTTACTCAGACAATCTAGATCTTGTCAATTTGTTGCAACGAAGCTTGTTCACGTTTTTAAAGGGAGTTTATTTAAAACTACACCAAACAAAAATTAATTAACTCAAGCTTAAGATTGCTGTTAGGCAGAGGTTGCTCTCTGAGTTGCTGTTAAGTGAATACCATTGTAATAAAAATAGAGTAGTAAAAATAATAATAATATAAAAATAATAATGTGGATAACCATAACCACTGATTTTAAGCATCAAAAAAAGTTTCTGAGCACCTCCATTGTCCAGTTGACATCTTTCTCATCCTGCAGACTGCTCGGCTCATCTGTGCCAGAGGCAATACTGAGACTTTGTGCGATGTGCTTGACCACATGACAGGCCACTTCCCGACCCACACTGGCAGGGAACTTATGGAGCACTGATTGGTTGCCACGGTCACACTGAATCTCCTCTTGGAGAGAAGCCCAGTCCCAATACATTGTCCTCCACCACGTTGTTGTTTTGCAGACTGAGTTTTTTTAAACACTACCCAATCTTGGGTGATCAGAAGGCAGTACAAGTTCAGCTTGAATCAACAAAACATCCATATCCATTGCATTGTGTTTGATCTGAAATGACATTTATAACATATCATGAAAAAGTGAAAAAATAATACAATACAAAGCTGAACTTGCACTTTTGCAAATTTCACACTTTGAAGGACTGGACTGTGTTGACTGTTGACACCAGACTCCCCAGATACGGCAACAATCTACACTACTGATGAGTCACAAGTCCAGAGCAGCATTTATTTATCAATCTGATCTACTCTACTTCTACTCTACAGCATAGAACATGTGAGGCATTGTGGTGAAATCAGGCCCCCACGGCTCGGCGTAGCGAATGAGTTAAGATGATACCAAATAACTCCACATGCCCAAAAATTGACGAGCGCCTAATTCCACCGCGTCGTGACAGGTATATATAGATACTCAGAGCAAAAGTCAAAGCCGTAATGTTCATCTAAAAATAATGTTTGCATGAAAATCACGAAACAAATCTTTGAATTTGATCTTAGGATTCAATGATGACAAAATTACTACTGCTTGTCCTGCACTAAATACTGCATTGCATTATAATTTAAGTCTAAAATTTCAGATCTAGAAATGATACAAATGATGCACATATGTCGATTTGCTGTCTAATTCTCCATCGATTGTTGCACATTCTATGGATCCACAAAAATGGATCCACAAAATGCGTTGCGCCATTCTCCGATCGCGTAAATCGACAAAACGTGGCTAACATACACTAGACTATAATCTATTTACGCAGTGGCTACGTTCACGACGCCGTGAACCTAGTCTGCAGGGTACATTCACAGCGCCCTGAACGTAGTTGGCAGGCTACATTCACGGAGCCCTGAATGCAATTTGCAGGCGCTGTTGAGGCTACGTTCACGGCATTCAAGCTTCGTTTAGACAGAGCGTCCACTGCAGGTTTAAGTAAGCTGGTTTTAGTCAGTGACGACAGTGACGTATTTAATATTTTGGCCTGCTTCAAGCGTTCCATCCCATGAGAGGAAGGAAAACGAAGCAGTGATCCTTGACCGATTGACCATTCATCGTTTTCACTTACACTGAGCTCTGGCTCAGAGCTCGCAAGTGTAAGGGAAAACGAAGAACTCTCAATTACGCAAAAACGCATTAGGATACATATGATGACAAAAATGTATACGCCTACCAAGATGTTTCAATTGCCCTATCTCACGTCCCTGTGAAACCTGGGCGCTACCTTGTATTAGCGCGTGACGACCCGTGATATACGAGTGAAAACAAATGTTCTAGCCCTCTCTTGAGTTGAAAGCGCGCAATTTTGTCTGCGGGCAGAGTGTGTGTGTGTGTGTGTGTGTGTGTGTGTGTGTGTGTGTGTGTGTGTGTGTGTGTGTGTGAGAGAGAGAGAGAGAGAGAGAGAGAGAGAGAGAAGGAGAGAGAGAGAGAGAGAGAAAGAGAGAGGGGGAAGGGAGAGAAAGGCAGTTAGAGAGAGGGGGAGGATAAAGAGGGGAGAGATGAGGGAGAGAATGTGAGGAGAGAAAGGGGAAACACAGAGAGAGAGAGGTAGAGAGAGAGGACGAAAGACAGAGAAAGAAGGGGGGGGGGAGAGAAAGAGAAAGAAGGGGGGGGGAGAGAGAAAGAGGGATGGAGAGACAGACAGAGACAGAGAAAAATAGAGAGAGAAGTGGGGGAGAGAAAGAGAGAAGGAAAGAGAAAGGAGAGAGACAGACAGAAAAAGAAAGAGAGAGGGTGTTTGTATTATATAATAAGAATAATTGATTCCCGATATTTTCTCTCTGCGTAGGTTCCCAGGCTGACCCGGTGCAATACAGTCATTATTGTACACATTTTATGACCAGTCCCATCTTCCAAATCGCATCTTCTGTTTCCCATCTCTCACCTCTTTTTTCCCCATGTACCGTATCCAATTTTTCCATACAGCATATCCCAACTTTAATTCTGCAAGGGTGCTTCGCTTTCCTTCATCTCATGGGATGGGTTTTTTTATAGTAGAGGGTTTTATGGCGCTCGCAACTGCATAAGGTCAAATGAGCGCCAAGGGGTGGGTGTCAACATCGAAGTCTTTACAGGGAATCAGACGTACCCTGCTTACCTCTCTAGCTTCAACAGCACAAGGTCTGCTTCGACTATCAAGGCACCCCAAAATAGCAGGTCACAAGAGAGTGACAAACATTCAGAAGAAGTAGAAGAAAATGACAATAGTAAGGATCAGGAAAGAAAAAGCAGCAGTTCCCTGTTGTAGAACTGGCACAGTTATGAGCGTGACATTAGTCAGCCCATTTACAATTCTACTATGCTTGAACGAGAAATGTCCCCCCTTTGGGAATGGCCTAAAGACACTTCAGTCAGTGGCACTGCCCCGGGGGGTATCTCATGGGATGGATCACTTGAAGCTGGCCAAAATATTAAATATACGTCACTGTCGTCACTGACTAAAACCGGCTGACTTAAACCGGCAGTGGACACTCCCCCTAAACGAAGTTTTAGTGCCGTGAACGTAGCCTCAACAGCGCCTGCAAACTGCATTTAGGGCACTGTGAACGTAGCCTGCCAACTACGTTCACGGCGCTGTAAACGTAGCCACTGTGATCTATCTATTATAATCTATACACACTACACTACACTCTGCTACACTAAACTTACACTAACGGACTTCGCTCTTGTCAATATTAGCCTTCATGAAATTCTAAAAATATTCAAAGTGTAGATAGGCCTATCAAGATGATTGAACTTTGGTGGACCCAATACCGAACTAAGCCGGAACTACTTTTTTTAGTCTCTCCGTGCAATGCCTTACCATGTTATTGTTTTGCATTTATGTGTGAGTTTTTAAAATTATTATTGTTGCCAGAGGGGCAAGCTCCTCCCGCCACCCCCTGAAACCCCCCCACTAACAGCAAAACCCCCCACTGCTGTTATGGCTAGATCTAGATCCAGTGTGCATTAACCCTCGTCCTGCAGGGGCCGGGTTTATGTCCCCCAATAAGCCCATTTCGGCACCCCGCCTTCGTTCCAGTCCCATGTCAGTCCGGCTCCTGGCTCAGCGCACGCACGCCGAGCATCATCTCCATTCCGTTCGGGTCCCGCATCAGACCCGCATACGCAGCTCAAATGTGTGAGCGTCAGTCTGCTTGAGTTTGTGTGCATTTGTTGCCTACTTCTAGAACCACCTGTGTTGGTTTGTCACTGAGGCATACGTCTCATTCAAAACACACCAAGTTGGTAGCTCTAGATGTTCGTCCAAGGAAGTTAGAACAAATTGACCCACTTAGACATGAGGAGCTCGAAAGGATAGTCAGGAAATAAGACTTCCATTTTTCTATACAAAATCTTTCAAATGAGCTTGATTTTGTACGAAATTATAGAGTTGACTACCTAATAAAGAATGTGCTTGTTTGATAGTTTTGAATACCATTGAGCAGGTAAAAAGAACAACTTGAGGGCAAACATTCGGAAATTGACCAATATTATCCCCTTTCGAACCCCAGATCATTCATAACACAACAATCTTGAGATCTAAAAAGGTTATAATTCGAATAGGTGTAACTACTCATAATGTGTTTCAGCTTATGAGAGGGGGTTATTCATGTGTTCGTAACACTTTATATAAATAGAAAGCTATAATTATAAAAAAGATAGAGCATCATTTTCATCATCGATTAACACACTCCCACGGTATTCATAGCGAAAACACACGTTTCCAGGACCGCTCGTTGTACACCAACAGTACACGCTGAGTGTGTACACCAACAGTACACGCTGAGTGCGTACACCAACAGTACACGCTGAGTGACCCCCGCGACTCGTCCGGAACGTCCGAAGTAGTTGGTTGCTCATAAGATTCACATCTCGGCACAAACGCAGGACAAGAGTTAATAGGCCATGTAAACACGGTGGGTCCACCAAAGTTAAATCCGGCCGAAATGGGTGAAGTGTTATGTACTGTGAAATCAAAGTAAGGCACTGAACTGGTTGAGATTTGTTGTCCCGCCGCCATGTTGGTTTGTTTACATTGACAGCAACCTGATGACCTCTTGGTATGATAGGTTAGAGTTTTGATTTTATAGACATAAGATCTATACCTTTTTAATTTTAATTAAAATCCTCGGCTGGATTGTACTTTACCGGACCACCCGTCTCGGCCCGTGATTACTACGCACGCCTAGCCTAACTGCGCACTCATAGTTCTCTACGAGCGGACAAAAGGTAGTTCCACGGGCGACTTCGCGCACAACGCAAGCCAGCCGCGAGGCGAGGTGAGCGAGAGGTGGGGGTTGAGGGTGGGTAGGGGATTTAACTTTGGTGGATCTTACAAAATCCTCATTCCGTCTGGCAAACTAAGTTTTAGCGCGCACTTTCGGGGCGGCAATCAGTTGCTGTTGGATTCGGCGTTTTTTCGGTAGTTCCCACCCCGCAATTGTTATTCGCCAGTTTTGGCCTCAAGAGTAGAGGGGTTTCAGTTTCAGGGGACCTAATAAAAATATGGTGAGGGGTTTCTGCCCCGAAAGTGGCTATTCTCACCCGCCCGGAAGTTCTCGCAAGATCTACTCCTCCCCTCTTCTCTCTCTCTCTGTCTCTTTCTGAATACTGTCTATCGGTGTGGACGATCAAATTGACCAAAACAAAGTTAAAAAATGATGTTAAAACACAAAAAAGTAAATTAATTTGGTTGTCTACAAAGATGCTACGGCTATTTAACTTTTCGAATCGAGCCGAACTACGCGGGTCGCCATTTTGTTTTGTTCTCTCTCTTTCTCTCTCTCACTCTCTCTCTCCACTGCCCACTGACAAAATTGTACGATTTTAGTAGGCTACAGGTACAGTTGTAATGGAACGTTTGTTCATAGCACAGAATTCTACAATTTTTCTGTTATCACAGTGTAGAATTCTGTGGTTTAGGGTGAACGCAAAATTTGTTGGCCTAGATCTAGGCTATTACGGTGAACGCGCACCGGGTGAGAATAGCCAAAAGACTCGCCTGCACTATTCTCATCCCGGGTGAGAATAGAGGTGGCCTTCTGCCCCCCTAAATTTTACCATAATAATTTGATGTTTTGCAGTTGTTAGGTTTGATGTCTTAGCTCGCCGCGCATCAAACGTACAGATGTCGATGTAGATCTAGGCTCAAATAAGGGGGCTGGGAACTACCGAAAAAGCACCTTGGATTCTTGCTGTTAGTGTTAGAAGAATCTAAACCTGTGTTGCATTTGAGTTGCTGATGTAAACAAACCAACATGGCGGCGAGACGGCAAATCTTAACCAGTGCCCAAAGTAATAGGCCTACTCAGTGTCAGTGTGTAGATCTAGAATCTAGGCGAAGAAAATAGGCCTACTCTTACAGGCAAGACTAAGTCTAAGGCCTACGGTACGCAGACACAGGCAGCCTTCGCAGCAGCAGCACTGCAGACTGCGGCCAGCAGATCATCAAAATCAAAATCAAGTTGTCTTGCCAAATACACGCAAGATTCCTCTAAACAAGGTGCAGTGAACGATTTGGGACTCTCAAGCTGTTTTATTCATGATAAACACATCGCATCATTGATAAAATAGAAAGCAATCTAAAAGGATCCACACCTGAAGTTAGAAAACCTTGTTATGTTTTGACACTCTTCGAGTCTCCCTCAGCCATGTTTGTATCACGGCTATTTACGGCAACTGCAGACTGCAGATCAGAGGTGATGAAAACCGTAAGACTCCGGAGAAACCGGACGGTGAAATCATGTCGCCTCGGCCTTGAATAGCCTATTCGTACATTGTTATTAAAAATGTTATGCGGCTTAACAAAGAGATGCCCCCAAGCAACAGATTTAATTGACTTTTCTAATACATAGGACATTTTAAGACTTCATTGGAAAAGTTGAGACACATGGATCTAATCTAGACTAGATTTAGATCTACAGAAAGAATAATTCCATACCAGGTCAAGTTACACAATACACAAGAAGTCACGACCTTGGCCTAGGCTAGATCTAGATTAAAATTTAGACTCTATATGATAGGCCAAGATCTAGAATCTATAGCCTAGACCAGAATAGTAGGTTATAGCCTAGTCTAGAATCTAAACTCTAAACGTAGCCTACTCGTCTGCGATTCAAGTAGGGTCTCATGTCTCATGAACCAAAAATTAAAAACAGACTATGACTATGATCATGAAGATAATCGAAAAGTTTCACGACAGTCAGAAAAGAGCAACCCACCTCAACCCATCAAGTCCGTAATTGTGGCCTTGTCTTCAAACTTCAAAGCAAAAATTGGACAGAAAGAGGGAAAGGGGAAAAAAGTCTGGAATGGAACCAAACCAAAGATCGTGTAGAGGTAGGCCTAGTAGAGAATCTTTGACCAAACGACATGATGGGCTCAGAAATTGACGGAGGAACGATGCTGATAAATTTTGAAGGAAAAAAAAAACAGACACAGCATACAAATACTTTTTTATGCCAGTAACAGATATTGGACAAAGAAATGTCCTAACAAAGGATACAAAATCATCTACAAATAGACGCCATCCTCGTCTCGAACAATGATATCCGCAAAAGATTGTGGCGCGAGATTATATCTACATCAGTCCGATATATTGACAGCATCCATATTAATTAATATTATATTGGAGCCACAAGAAAAATAAACAGAATTAAGCTTATGAGACTCAATAATAAAGCAACACAAACATCTGAATATAGAAATATACAGCAGAAACTCGAACTAAACAAAGAAATATTCCAACTGAATCTGAAAAATAAATTCAGGGTTCTGGATTGAATTTCCATTGAAACACGACACAACATCGTAAATAAAAAAGAAGCATTAACAAAATTTTAATCAAAAGCAAATAAAAATAGTTAAAAGGAGGAAGAAAAACACACAGGAGAAGATAATACAGATAGAAAGTCTGGACATGAGGAGTGATCAAGCTTCATAAACGAGAACACACGCCATACTTTTTTTTTTTAATAGGCCTGAAATTAAATACGATAATTGAACAAAACTGTGAAGAAAATGCGCAGAAATGAGACAGAAGGATAGAAGAATAGGGATGGATCAAAGGATTGAACACAGGACCTAAAGAGAATACAAACAAGTATGCCAAAAGAAAATCACAAACATTTTACAAGCAACAGGTGATGAAGTAACCTTAAATAGAGAGGAGATACTAGTACATGTACTACAACTATACAAGTACAGTAAATCTAGTCTCCGCCAAAGACTAGACCCCCACCGCTTACGATGCCGGTAATTCGCTTTAAATCCTGCTGGTTTTTTTTTAAGAAAACATTTTATTACATGTATACAAAAGTCACTTCTAAGATCCCGATCAGATTCACTCTAAAATGTCTACATTCGGCTAAGATCCCGCATTTCAGATTTTAATCTATGGAACAAAACCCCGGGTGGACACAGCCGATCAACCAAGAGTGAAAGAGAAAAGTTGAGATCATTGAACTGTCCTTCGTGTCAAAGATCAGCCACTCTGGTGAATGAGATCAAATAAAATTGTTGTAAAACTCGATGAAACGGTACAATATTTGGCCCACACGCGGGATCACGAGGTGTGAAGTGACCGACGCGCCGGTTTTCCCCCCAACGTCGCATCGCACTCGCATCTGAGCCAAGGAGTTTCCTTGATCTGATCTCTCCAACTAAACTTCTTACATCACTCCTGAGAGTGAGAGTGGGCAAGGCAGGAAAATCTCGATGAGTGGGAACAATAATGTCTCTCCCCACCCCCTTAAATTGTTTTTGCCCCCCCCCCCCCCCTTTTCCCTCCCCCCAAACAACCATTCGAAGGGATCGCACTGAGGTGTGAATTCGTCGCCGCGTTCGTTTTCCTCAAACATCGCACTCACTTCTGAAAGGCCGCTTGAGACGGGATCACATAGACGTTCTTATACTGAGCGTCTAGGATCACATCGAACTGTGAATTGTAGAAACAATCGAGACTTACCTGTAAGTTGATGATTGTTTCTGATTTTGACGATCTGTCGTCAGGAACGGAGTGGTAATATGGGATGCGCGCTAACCGATCCAGTCACTCTTCAGCCAGTCACAGTTGATGTGAGCATGCCCATAATGTAGTACAACTTTGGCATGCACAATTTATAGTATCATCATAGCAACAGCAATTAATTGAGCACTGTATGTCATACACATCGGGAGGGATTAAGGGAGGGCATATTACCACTCCGTTCCTGACGACAGATCGTCAAAATCAGAAACAATCATCAACTTACAGGTAAGTCTCGATTGTTTCTACAATTTTAACTCAACTGCCGGTCAGGCCCTCCGTGGTTATATGGGATTTCAGAGCTCAACTGAGACTGCTTCACTTAGCTCTCACTGAATATCATTCAGGCGTAAGACTTCATACACAAAGCAATTAGAAGATAATACATGTATGTTCAAATGGATCAACAAAGCTGTGGATTTTGATCACAATATAATATGTTTATAAAATCAGAAAAACCATAAAGGCACAGAATGTGGGATTAACAGCTCATAATATTTACACACGAAGGGTTACATGGAGAATAAATCATTATGGACATTTGGAGGTAAAATAAGTCTGGATCAGTTTCTCTCCAAAATTTTCTTCAACTTGTTTTTTATAGAATAGAGTAAAAGTGGTCTCTTTTGACCATCCTGCAGCAGCCAAGATGGCATGAATTCAGTGCTGTTGTTACCCTGACCATTGCACTGATCTTTCAGCCCTGCGCCCGACTTTGCTTGAAGACCCAGACTGAAGCTCTCATATCCGGGGACAAAGATAGCAGTGGTCCGACCATAGTCCGATCCTTTGGTTATATGATAATCTGTTGGCAGTGATCCTGCCTTTCGTGGCGCCACATTAGACAGGTGGCAGTCTTACACAATGCCATTATGTTTTAAAATGCTTGGGAGGAAGTGGATGGTGACCGTTAATAATTGTGAGCAGGTGAGGTGATTGTCTTTTATACGTAAATGACGGTTAAAGAAGGTTCAACTGACAATGTATAATAAAATCAAATATAAATATTATATATTCAGTAAAATTTATCAAAGACTGTCACCCATACTCGAGGAGAAAAATGACTATCTTAGACAGGTGGACGTCTTTGACAGTGTCACTATAAATGTAGGGGGAAAACTCAAGGGGGGGGGGGGGGGGGGATTGTGAAGATTGTCTTGGACGGGTGGCCATATGACCAGGTTCGACAACATTGTAAGCCTAATGAACGCCAATAAAAAAGCAACTTTTTCCATATAGGTCATTGAAAAAAGCCAAATTATACTCTCAACGTCACGATCTTTGAAAACAAAGGTGAGTGCACGGTTTTTGTTATCTCCATGGGTACTTTTAATCACAGTACAGTAAACGGGTGTTTCCTCAATCCCCAATGCAGTCGTCCTGACAGCGCTGTCCTGTCAATGACCTTTATGCGGTTGCGAGCGCCGTAAAACTCATACACCCCCCCCCCAAAAAAAAAAGCGCTGTCCACGACGTCCCCACACTTTAATGCGGCTTTAGTGAAATGTGTCCGTTAGGCGCTAGCATTAAACTAACGAAAAAAAATACAGTGTATTTGCCTGGAAGATAACGCGTAGCTCTTTCCAAACAAAAGCCTATTTTTTTGCCGTCAATAAACAATTTCTTTTATTACAACAATAGAGAAAATAATACACCCAGTAGGCCTACTAAAAAAACAACCCCACAACAACATAATGGTTATGCAGCTTGTCCGCAACACCCCAACGAAGCTAACAACCGCAAGTAGGCTCCCGCCTAGTTCAAGTTCAAGGCGGAAAATCTGGCCGAGAAGCAGCAAGACGGCTAAATTGTAGTGCTTGCGGTCGTTTCTCGACTTATCCAAAGATTTTAGTTTTAGCACACTTGAAATGTTGGGGATAGCCTATATAACAAAGAATAGGAGAGCCTCGAGTTTCGAGCCCTGCCTAGGACAGACAAATTTTGCGGTTGCACTTGTGGGATCGTTTCCCTCACGCAAAAGTAGATAATATAATTAACAGCTTAAGACATGAAAAGTGTGTCTCTGCTATCAGTGTGAGGCGTATTCAATAAAAAGTTCGAGAACCCGTACATGCATTTAAATAAAAAGAGAACAAAGTGATAAAAACAAGTCTGAGGTGTTTGATTACATCTATTTGTTTGTTTGTTTTTTGTTTTGTTTTTTGGTGTGTGTGTGTGGGGGGGGGGGGGGGGGGGCGTTGGACACAGTTATGGGATAACATCAAAGATTATAATAAATCAACCGCAACAACAATGTGTACGGTGGAAATATTTTTAAAAAATGGTGAAACGGTATGGGTTTAACGCCCTTATCAACACTATTAGAAGGTTATTTAAGAGGCCGGGCCTCCTAGTTTAACGTCCGTCTCAGAAAGGACCGAGCCAAGTGGGAAATTTGTGTAAAGTGCCTTTCCCAAGGACACAACGTCGGGCCGAGCTGAGGCTCGAACCCCCGAACCCGCACTCTCACGGTTACGAGTCCGGTAGCCTAACCACTAGGCTACCGACGCCACACTCGGTGGAAATGGGCACCACCCAAAATTTAAAAAAATCACAAAAATGAAAGTTTCAATACAAGGCTCGGTAACGATCGCCAACCATTCTTTGCACCTATTGTTTATAGACCTAACCAAGTTTGTCAGCCTAGCCTTCTCGGACAAGGGCGAAAAATCTCAGAGGTTCCGTGCGCAAGTTGCGCACGTTAAAGATCCCTTGGTGGTCTAAAATCGATAAGAGTAGGTTTCAGCCGCCACCCGTTTAATGTGTCCCGCGCGCTCATATGATCTTATGCAGTTGCGAGCTCCGTAAAGTACTTGCAAAAAAAAAAAAAAGTTTGTCAGGAATACTTGCGAAATAGCATTTCACACAAGCTGAAGATTGTGAAGGAGCTGGTCAAGAGTTCTCGCTGGTTGGTATTTTTTTCTGAACACAGGGCCCTAGCTCGTTCCATAATTGTTCAATTGGGTTTTGATCAGGGCTATTTGAGGACCGAGTCAGTCTGCCAATTGCACTTTAAGCAATGCAATCCTTGATAACACGGGCATGGTGGCCTGGCGTTGTCGTCCTGGAAGATTGCGCCACCACCAATCAGCTGCAGGACCACTAGTGGCTGCACAATTACAATCTCATCACGATGGCGAATGGCTTTGAGATTGCCCTGAATGTGGTAGAGAGGGGTTCTTTCATGAAGACTTATCCCTCCCTACACCATCACAGAACCTCCCCCATAGCGGGATGTTTCCACAATGCAGTCGTCTTGAAAGCTCTGCCCACAACGCCTCCTTACTCGAATGCGGCTATCATGCGGCTCCAACTGGAGTCTCGACTCGTTGGCGAAGAGAACATGACTATAGCGCACTGCTGCAGCGGGATCATCCCTACAGCAGGACCTTAGCCTAGACCTTACCGGAACCCCCCTCCCCCCCCCCCTGTAACTAAACTCACTAATCGGTCCTTACCTGTCCTTACTTGTCCACTGTGTTGGGGTCACTGCAGTCGGAACATGTCCATCTCTGCTCTCCCCCCCCCCCCCCCCCCCTTCTTCAGGATCCATCCCAGAGTCTGTCTACTTATAGTGGTGCTTGGGTTTAACGGGGCAAGGAAAGGCCCGAACTTGGACAGGCTACAGCGGGAGAGATCGAGCGAGCTCTTGCTGGGGGAAGGATGTTGGGGGGTAGGGGCAAAGACCGTGTATACCGTAGTTACGGTCTCTGGTAGGGGGCTGTAGGTGGGCTCCAAACTCGGAGTATCTATTATAACAGGCGGTCAGCGGTGTGGCGTTGTGGTTGGCCAGTCCAGTGATGAGTGAGGTAGGGCTTAGCCTAGGCTTGGGCAGGCAGCAGAGAGAGAGAGAGAGAGAGAGAGAGAGAGAGAGAGAGAGAGAGAGAGAGAGAGAGAGAGAGAGAGAGAGAGAGAGAGAGAGAGAGAGAGAGAGAGAGAGAGAGAGATGGTGCAGAGAGACGCGTTAGCCTAGCCAACGTGAGCCACTCCAAAAGTGATGTGCCATAGCCTAGGCTTTCTCAGCCTAGACCATAGCCTTAGGCTAAGGCCTAGGCCAGGCCAAAAAGACAACAAAAGAAGAGGAGAGCATGTTGTGCGCGATTTTTCGGAAATTCCCCTTTGCATTCCTTAGAGCGGGAACTAGTCTACAGCGGGATTTTTACTTCGGGAACTAAAATCCCGCTATAACCATGTTCTATTGTACTAGCCTATGTATTATTTTAAAATGAGAAATGCAGTAACTCTCAGAGGTTTAATATTTTTCTAATTTTAAACTATTTTTATAATATTATTAGATCTACATTTTCATGTTGTCCGACAACTTTTTAAAAATCCGCTTACATTTTTGACCGTCCGTCCGTCGGTCTGTTTGTTTGTCTGTTTGTCTTGTTAAATGTTAATTGAGGGGGGGGGGGGGTATACTGAGAGATATACAGATAATGGAATGAGATTGACAGGCAGGCAGGCAGGCAGGCAGACAAACAGGGGAGCTCGTGAACCCCCGGGTAGGGAGTGCTTATTCGTACAAACAGCCTCCTACCCTCTGCAAGACAACAAAACGTGCTCAGTATCAACAGCAGCACAAACAGCTGCAACAACAACAACACAACAACAACCACATCAACAACAAACTGTCCGCGTTTAATTTAAAAAAAAAATCCCCAAACTCCTCTACAACTAAACGCTGACTGTATTTGACGAGTTATCTCCCGCGTTCTCGTGGAGGTCAGACGTGAGGTCACTCACTATAATGTTCTCCGATCATCTGTGACTGAGTGTGCGAGTTATTTCACTCACAGTCTTCCGTGGCTGACAAATCAGAAATCAGAAGATTTCTCGAATGAACTAGGCCTAACCATAACCCAGTGACGCCCCTGTCAATCTTGAACCTGACAATAATTTATAATGAGTGTTACCTATACTCTATATAAAAACAAAAACTCAAACAGAAACAACACAAGACATCGTTCCAATTTTTATGTAAGTTCACCATCTCAACGTTCACACGCCCACCATAGGTTCACCTTGACGTGACATCACCCTTGCCAAATATTAAAATTTAATTATTAGGCCTAGATCTAGACCGAGATTAGACTATTCGGCAGAAATTTGCGGCTCGGAACTTGTCGGAAGAGAGAGGGATCGACGATTCACTGTTGTACGGCTATAGGCTAGCGGCAGGCCCCAGCCAGTGTGGTGGGTCAAATTGCCTAGGCCTTGGCCAACACAACACACAACAGGCGTTCCCGCTGTGCAAGCGATGCGGGAATGCGAACCCACCGACAGACTGTCACAAGCAGCGGCGGATTTTGTTGTGTGCGGCGGCGGGGTGTGTGCTCAGTGCTCGCTCGCATCTTGCGCAGTAGATCTAATCGGTCCTGTACTGACAACTGAGTGTCATAGTGATTGAATTGGGACTGAATTTAATAACAAAAAAACAACGAAAGACGGAAGCATTGCTAGGCGATGTCAGGCAGAAGATTCTAACAACTTCTTGGTGGATATATTTTTGTTTCTTACTGTGAAAGCCATTTTCGACTCGTATGGTTGAGTGTGTTGACGATGTTTTGTCGAGAGTTTTTCCGAGTCTTGAATTTGAACTGAAGCCAAGTAAGTTTGATCGCCGAGGTCCTGTTTGAGTTTGGCTTATCATCAGTGGTGGCATTCTCTCATAAAATATGCCCAGTGCACAATAGGCTACTCACAAAGTACTTTAGAGAATAAGACGTTGAAGAATTAAATCTTGAATCTAGGCTAGAATTGAGATGTCTAAGGCATTTATAACCTAGAATCTAGATCTAATATCTAGATTCTAGATCTAGATCTAGCCTTAGATCTTACCATGTCCATATAGATCTAGGCCTACTTGTCTAGATTCTCGATTCTAGTCTATTAATTTAAGATCAACTCAATTAGAATCTAGATCTAGATCTAGATCTAGATCTAGATTCTAGATCTAGATTCTAGGCTGATCTAGATTTAGATAAAGTTTAAACTTCAACAGGCTAATGTTTTTATTGTTTTGCTCTTGTCTTGTCGGTTTATGTAGCCTAGACCAAGGCACATTCCCAGATCTTCCCTTTTGCTTTGCTTTGGCTCGGACAAGACACGACATTCAAAATCTAGCGAGGGCCTGGGATCAGATTTGTGCAAGTGCAAGGTCCAGCATGTTGCAGTAGATCTATTGTCTAGTATTGTGTCATGTTTTGAAAGGTTACAGTGATATAAATGCACCAGACCTATCACAGCAATATCTAGATCTAATCTAGACTAGATTCTAGATATCTAGATCTAAATATATCTAGAATCTAGATCAAGATCTCGCTAAAGATTATCAAGATTCTAGTCTAGATCTAGATCTATATCTAGATCTAGTCATTCTAGATCTATATCTAGAATCTATATCTAGATCTAGAATCTAGTAGATAATTATGTCTGATGGATGAATGTTCTTGGTCTCCAGATCTCTATTAAAAAGACGTTTCTTGTTGTTTGTCTGGGCTATAGATCTAGATATCTATATCTAGATCTAGACAGACTAGACTTATAGATCTAGATCTAAGCCTACTAGATATGTAGATCTAGATTCTAGAGATCTAATCTAGATCTAATCTAGATATTCTAGTCGATTTATCTGGTGATCCAGTTTCAAGCAGGCTGCATAGACTAGATCTAGATCTAGATTCTAGATCTAGATTAGATCCAGATCTAGATCTATATCTCTAGAATCAAGGGGGTAGACTAGAACTGGCTAGATCATTAGCTGCAGACCTGAGTTAGTAGATCTTAGATCTAGATTCTAGTAGGCCTAACGGATGGAGAGCCACCAACGAAATCTTTTGTCCTCTTCATCTGGATCAAGAAGTCTAGGCCTAGTCTAGATTCTAGTGGTGATTGTACATTTGGACTTGTTTGACATTTTTGCTAACATCCAGTCACGATGTTTCCTCTGTGTAGGCATAGAGTAGGCCTGCAACTTAGCTTAGCTACTAGCCTATATATGTCATGTAGGACTACACCTAGTCATTTCAGTGGAGAATAATTTTATAGAGATTTCTTCTCTAGATCTAGATCTATACCAAATTTTTAAAATTTTAGTACTGCCGGCTCTATTTCTCAGACGCTAGGGAAAATAGACTTGAACTCTTTTATTTATGTATTTTTCTATTCTCCTAACGTTTCCGTTCTCGAGATTTTTTGGTTAGATTAGATAAAGCCATATTTGCGAATATAGAGTGGCCCATGCGTGTTTGTGTGTGTGTAAGATGTGAAAGGGGGGAGGGGCGTGGAGGGATTAGTTTTTGCTTTAGGATGAATAAATGCAAAGTTACTGCCAAAGCTGAGCAGTTTTGTTTTCTCGCAGTATCTGAATATTCAGACATATCTAAAAATCTCTAGAAATTGAATTTGATACTAAAAATGCTTCTTCCCAGTCCTTGCAGAGTGGCAGAATTAAAGGTGATGCCGAACTCTTGCAAAACCAAAAAATTTTGAGAACGGAAACCGTTCGTAGATATAGAGGTCAAGTTTATTTTCCTGAGCGTTTGGAGAAATAGTCTCTTTGCTTTAGTACAGTGGTGTAATTCTACAGATTGCGGTACAGTAGAGCAGGTTCCAGTGTAGTTGGTCCTGTAGCATACACTTTTCTCATGTTGGTTCTGGGTTTCTAGAGAGATCATTTTATAACTTGTATCAAGTTAATTTAATGCCCTTTTCTTTAACTTTCTTTCGGGACTTTAGAGTAGGAGAGTAGATTTGTAGGCCTACTTTTGTATGTTTTTGACTGGACTATTAGGCCTATTAAATCGAAGTGACTATTTCTCCGAACGCTCGGGAAAATAAACTTGACCTCTATTTCTCCGAACGGTTTCCGTTCTTGAGATTTTTTAAAAATTTGAGACTATTTCGGCCGGCGCCATCTTTCATTCTGCCTTTCTGCGAGGACTGGGAAGAAGCATTTTTTGCATCAAATTCAATTTCTTAAGTTAGAGATTTTTAAATGTCTGAATATTTAGATACACTTAAATTGTGGTTAGGGCAACGTTCCTGGACTATACTTATTTGAAAATGCCTTCAAAAGGTGCGAGAAAACAAGACTGCTTGACTTTGGTAGTAATCTATTTTGCATATATATATATATATATTTAGTCACCCCTAAAGAAAAAAAACTAAAATCCTTCAATATAAAATATAAGCAAAAAAAATCCCTTCACACCCCCCTCCGCCCCCACACACAAACACACACACACACACACACACACACACACACCGCCCTTTCACACCTTACACACACACAGACACACGCACCCACACTCGCACGCGCAGGCCACTTCATTCGCAAATAACCAACAAATCTCGAGAATATATAACTGTTCGGAGAAATGCAGTTCATGTTTATTTTCCCACGGGTTCGGAGAAATAGAGCCGGTCTTATTACATTGTATAAGATATAAGTCAACAACAAATCGAATCATGAGGGTTATTGGCACCGGGACCAGCATTTTTAGCACTGACATGATTCGAGTCTATCAATCTATGAAACACAACATCACAACATTACTTTGCCTGTCACTGAAGTCTGGTTGACTTTTCATAAATTGTGTTACTTTTAACAACATTCATGAAAAATAAACGTAGGTCTGTTAGACTAGCTGTTGAAATCATTGGGCATACATGCATGTTTTACTACAAATGGAAATAATTGAAGTCATAGAATTTTGATTGTCCTTTATTTGACAGATAAAGTGATTAGAGAATAGGCCTCAGATTAAATAAATTATTTATTGCCCTCGTCTCTAGACTAGATCTATTTGGCTACTTTTGGGCATACATGATGTCTGTATTACATCACAGAAGAAGACTGAATCACAGGAAAATACACAGGGGGTTTTGTCTTCATTCAGAAGTCCTATATTATAAGAATCTTTGGGGTTATAACATGGTAAAAAGAGCTTAAAGTCTCAGATATCTTATTATCAATATCGAGTGTGCCATTGTTTGATGAATTTTGTGGCCTCTAGAAAAAGCAGTACAACATGTAAAAAAAAGTTTTTAGATGATGAAATTTTTTTCATTACTAAATTTTCCTTTGTCTTTGAAAATTTTACCGATTGACCCTTTTATTCAGTTGGACTATTAAATTTTAAAAAATCAAATTAAAAAGAATTATAACTGAATGCAAACTTTCTAGCCTGTGTTTTCCTATTAATATATTACGTGTGTAAACAGCTTTGGCAGCCTGGGACAAAACTACTCGTCTTCTCTATTTTTGTGTAAATTGTGGTTTTCATTATAATCAATGGCAATTGTAAGTATCTTTACTTTGTGGCATTGTTTGTGCCCTGTCTCTTTTATGCATTTTAGCAACATTTGCAATTTTAAAGCATGGTAAAAAATGTTCTGATACAACTCATTGTTTACAACGTATTCAGTCAGTGAGAACCTGACATCCATGAATCGAGACCACATTGAATAATTACTGGGTGAAAATGAGCTCCATTATGTATAAAAACAAGTTGTTTACTATGATTTTCAAAAGATATATTATCTTCAAACTTCTCTCCTCTCATAAATATTCATTTGGCCCATATCGCATCATTTGAAAATTGACAGAAATAGCAGACTTTTGTTTCCTTGACTTCTATTTTAAATTTGAATGTTGACAACAAAAGAAAGGCATTTATAAGGATTTTGTACAATAATGCTTATTAAATGTAGGCTACAGATAAGAGCTCTGGTGAATTACCATTTCAGTGTAGTTTTTAAATTTTACATGGTGACTGCTTAAACTGAAATCTGTAGGAATGCCAGATTTTCTTTGGCGTAGTTGTGTTTTTACTTCAGAGAGATTGCAGAAAAAAAAAAAATAGTGAAGAAGAAAGCATTCTTTTCTTTCGATAGACCTGTTTTCGGATTTTAACCGTGTTCAGTGTAAAAGCAGACACTCCACTGTATTATTATTTAGGTGAATTTTTATAAACCACGTGAGTATTGGCACTTCAGCATGAGTAAAAAGTATGAAACACACCACTGCCTGAACATGGATTTCAATGATTTTTCTTTGCAAAATTAATGTGTAAAAGCACAGCTTTAACCGATTCTGTATTCAGCAGCGGACAGTCATGGTTTTTTATTTCTTAACTGTTACTATACTGGAGTTAACAAAATTCATAAGTATGTAATATGTGTGGGGCTGGAGAAAGGTAGTAGTGGTCGGCAAAACTCTTTTTGAGCAATGGGATGAAAAGGCCAAAGAAGTCATACCTGATAAAAAATGTAGTTACGTCAGAAAACATGTGGTCAGCCATTTCCTAATAACATATTGAAAGGATTTTATAATATTTTCTCTGTTATAATTATTTTTGCAACATGTACTTCACCAAAGGTTAAAAATGTGGTAGAAATTGGGTCAACATACTGAGGTTAAAGTTAACACTTACAGTACCGTCGGGGACTTTAGTCACCAAGCCGTAGTATGTGCTCACTACTGCTGGCGACTTTAGTCGCAGACGCAACCAGGCACACTAAACAAAATTAAACAATGAATGGATGCGCTGCACTGAAGTAAAATACCAAAGGAAGTCACTCTATATGATAACCAAATGGTTGATGAACCTCCCTGAATTTTTAAAGCGTGTTTCTTGGGCTGCCAAAGTTTTTCTATTCTTTAAAAAAAATTCTACTACGGCTTCAGTGTTCTAAACTGATGCGGTACCCTAGGATTTTTCACCGTATATGAGCCTTCGGTACTGTAAATGTTAAAGCCGTTTTTCTCCAAACTTTGTTTTTACACTCTACCTAACAAAATGTACTGATACTCAGATATTTGAACAATTTTTTAAAATCAACATGTTCAACTTTGAATTTGTGTCATGTCCTTATATCAATATATATTATATATATATATATATATATATATATATATATATATATATATATATATATATATATCTAAAATTTCTGACAACTGGGACCTTTCTCCAGGTATACACACACATGATTATATTATGATATAATGTCCTTTAAATGCAAATGCATTTTGACATCCAAGATTTCAGCGTCACAAATTTCCCTCCTATATGTTTAACTCGTGCTCCATTTTAACTTATTTATATAAAATACACACCAAAACTGAGTAGAAATGAATGATCAAAGTAGTAAACATGACACACAGTTGAATTAAACAACAAAGGCTGGCTGGGGTTAACTGAGTGATGTTGTGAGCCAGCTGAATTGGTGGACCGTATCTTAAAGAGTTAATATAAAGAAAAATAACTCTTGCTTTTTTTAGGATAAAGTTACCCACGTTTCAATAAGTTTGTTTGGGACGAGTTTTTGTTTTATGGTGTTTTACTTTAGACTATTAAAGTAGTTTATGTCTGGGGTTCCCAACATATTGTAATCTATGATACACTTTGAAATGAAACGTTTAAGAAGATCTGCTTCTCAAGTAAAATGAAAGAAAAATTAAAATGGAACATAAAATAAAACTCTGCCAATTTGAGTGCTAATACGACAGCATTTCCCTGCCCTCCAGTTGTAGGCTGCGGACAACTGGCAGAGAATGGTGAGGTGTACTCCGTATGGTGTTTCCCAGTCTGGTGTTAATGATATAGATCTAGTGTAAGGCATATTTATAGCACTTGTTATCGAGAATGCACTATACAAATGCTATCTTTTATTATTATTGTTATCATTCACTTGCTAAATTGATAGAAATATGACTAGAGTGGTATCGTAGGCCGAAATAGCAAAACTGAATTTTAAATTGCTCCTTTTACTCTGTTATTCGAGAACTTCTTGGTTGAGGGTGGATGATAAACAGTGAGATGTGTACTGAAATGTTTAGAAATTTTTCACATTGTAATTTGGTATTTTCTGATTAGCTTCTCCAAATGAACTCAAAGCGCTTCAACATACCGTCACTGCAGGAGTCTAAGCATCTACCTTGATTTCTGGAAATTTTACAGAAGAGTGGAAAAAGCTAAAAAGCTAGGCTATTATTTTTTATTATACACATATTAAGGCTGTTTAAAATCCAACATTGTAGCGGCTATTTGGATAGGTTAATCTGTTGACAATTATTTATAGATTGTGTTGATTGATGTCAGTCAGGATTGAGGGAAAACCAAAAATTGTGTTTTGTGAGTGAGCTAGAGTCCTGCAGCGACGAAATTGACTTCTTGTGTGTGTTTCCAACAGCACGAGGAGCTTTATAAGTGAAAGTTTTCCCCCTTTATGTCCCATACCAAAATGTTCAGGAGTGAGAAAATAGATACTCATTCATTATTCTGGTTGTAATCTTATAGTATGCTGAGAGTGAATGCTGTTAAGGTAACAGAAACAGGCTTACATAACAAGATAATTAAGGTGATAGGTAGGTATTAAGTAGGTGGCTCTGTCACATTGTACAGCAGAAGCATAGAATGGTCTTTACAAGACTTCATAATGGTATTTTAATTTGAGGGGAACAAGGATGTTGATTTTCCGAAAAGAAAGAATTAGTTTAGCTTTACATGTACTTGGATGGTGGAGGGAAACTAGTGAGTGTATGTTGCAGTTTGGGGTTATTATGGTAATTTGACATATTTTGTTGTTTGTGCAAACATTTTTTAGGTTTTTCTTGAAATATGGTCACTGAATTTTTTCTTCTTTTTTTTTTTTCAAGTAAGTCATACTTCAGTTGTTGACTTGAGGAAAATGTTGCTGTTGGCCTGATTCATCCTGACATCCAGAGACCTCCCATTATAAATAAAGGACTGTTGTGACAAGTTCTTTACGGATATAAATTACCAGTTTCTGAGAATTTTGAGTGTGTGACGGAGATACGGTGAGACTGGTGAAGCAGCCATGGCAGGAGCTAAGCCAGGAGTTCACCAGGTGCAGCTGAAGCCCATTACGGTGCCAGAGACCCTTACCAAGGGCAACAAGTTCATTATGTTCAATGATGTGAGTACATTTTATTTTGTTCTTTTTTTCAAAAGTTTGCTTTTTATAAAATCATGCAATGGACAGGCTTGAACAGAACTATTCTGAGCATGGTCTATTATGAATTATAGTGAGTCGAGTCCTCTTAAACCGTACATGGTTAATCTGGAAAAAGCTATATAAATTGAAAGAAAATTAAATCCTGGATTATATTAATTTTCTTCTATTTGGACAACCTCTCCAAACCAAAAAACCTGTCGAAAACGAAGAAATTCTGGCAGTCCCTCTAATTTCCATTTAAACGGCCTGTCCATTGTATAAAATGTATCCGCAACTAAGGAACATTTTAATGGAACCTAGAAGTTACAGAATATTTAGAATGTAGTCAGGTTCACCCAAAGCAGACTCCTGACTCCCGAACAGATCGTTACATTCCTATAAGAACGAATGTGTCAGCGCCACTCATCTGGAGAAGCGCGACAGGGTGTCAGGTTCAAAGGGCATTAAGGTTGGACTAAAATTAGCAATGACACTTACAAACAAAAGAAACTGGAGCTCAGCATGATGTGAATGTGAGTCATGTGCTTTTGCTATCTTTAGATTGTGAAGGCAGGGCAAGAGTTGATGACCTAAACAGAAAAAAAAAGATTTTTTTTTTCGGTTAGGGCTTACTGGGAACAAAAAAACAACCCC